GCACGGCATCTCTCTGTGTTAGAAATGCAGTGCCCTTCCCCGGAAACAAGATACAGCCATACTTCTCTCTGTTATCCGTCAACTTTCTCTCAGCTGTGTTCTGCACCCAGGCGGGGAGTTGAATAGTGTCCCTCCCAACTGGCAACATCGGCTCTGTCACCTGAGAAATACAGCGAGGGCTGGCTGGTTATAGGCTGGTCTGACTGTTTTTTGGAGTATGTATGTAATATTTGTTATTGAAAACGCCCTAGAACAACGCTACAGGGGAATCGTTCATGTGCACTGTTTCAATGTGCAACCATCCAAAATTCTAAAAAAAAAAAAAAAAGAGCAAGCCCTGGCCGAGTAGCTTAGTCAGAGTGTTGTCCTAACGTGCCAAGTTGGGAGTTCAGTTCCCAGGCAGGACACATGCAAGAATCAACCAATGAACACATCCGTAAGTGGGAGAACAAATCACTCTTTTTCTCCCTTCCTCTGCGTCTCTAAAATCCATAAATTTTTTAAAAATCCTAAAAAACACCCCTTAAAATTGATGCCATGAAATTGGGTTGCTCACTATCACTTTAAAATGAGGTTTGTAAACTTAGCACGTAAGAGGCTGTTTCTTCCCACTTTCTACTTTAAAAAGTTCCCTATGTAACCTAGACGGACTGTTATATCCTTGCACATTTTTAAAACGATTAGAAATGATCAGACACTGGATTTCCATCCACTGGCAAATGAGCCCCGAGTCCCTGGTTAGTGCTGATGAGACGGGGGACCCGGGGTGGACCCGGGCTCTGTGTCCCCGTGGCTGGCCACACCCAGGTCCCGTGTTCGGCCTCAGGGACGCTGGGCTGCGGGTTCGGAATCCGTGACGAGGGGTAGGATGAGACCAGCCAGAAACGCCTGTGGGTAGATGGCCTGTGAAAGCGTATCTGTGGGCGGCTGGTGTTTTATTTCCCCATCCTTATCTCTGCGCTGCTTTCTCAGCATTTTGTGGCACTCCCAGCTCTCCCCAGCTGGGCTCCACTGACCTCATTTACAACACTTTTGATAAGAGCCCTTGGGCTGAAAACGGTTCTGGGAAAAGATATTTTGCCAACAAAAGCTCCTGGTTGAATGGCAGGCCCCTTACCCTATTAACACTGGCATGTGGGTCCCTTGGAATCGCCTCAAAGTGCCATTTATACTGTTTTCTAAATTATAAGCTTTTATGTTCCTTACGTTTCAGAGGTGAGCTTAGGAGGTATCTCCTCAAAAATCGATCTCATCTTTAGTCCTAATTTAATATCTTTCTCTGGGGGAGGAAGCAGGATGTAGGCGTAACTGTTCCGCGGTTGGTCAACAAAACATTCTTTGTCCTTATTGAGAAACAGTTGAGAGCAACGTAAGATCTCTTGCTTTTGAGTCATGGATCAGATTTGTAATCATTGCATTCGAGGCTACAGGTAACAAAACACCCAGCTCCAGTGGCATAAAGGGACTTATTTTTCTCACATGACAAGAAGCCCAGACAGACACAGGCAGAAGTGGGCAGCTCTTCTGCGACACCACGGAGGATCTCTACTCCTTTCTTCATCATCTTCAGCTAGGAAATGCTGCCTCGTGGTTGCAAGGCGGCTGCTGTAGCTCCAAGAGCGATGCCTGCATCCCAAGGAGGAACAAAGGGAAACATTACAGATGAGTCTGGTCCTGTTCGTCTTTCCAAAAGCTCCCCAAAGTTTTCTACGTAGAGACTGTTGGCCGGAACTGTGTCACGTGGCCATCCTCACAGCAGACGTCGTGACTGGGAACTTTGACGCCCAAACAAAGCCAGAGCTGTGTTAGTGAGGATGGGAGACGACCGCTCCTTAGCCAGAGGACACGGAGGGACAGCTCACACAGGGCGCTGCTGGCACTTGCTTGGGACTGCCCTGCCTCTTCCTCAAGGCCCAAACCAGCAGGAACAGGCTCGGTCTCCTGTTCAGGCACCAAGTCACTATTTAGTAATTCTTTACTTTATCCGCTTACTTTTTATTTACCGAGCCTCTCCTTTATGCCAAGCATGGGGCGGGGGTGGGGTGCGGACAATGGAGACAAAAACAGACATGATCCTTGCCTGCCTTGCAGAACATCCGGTCCTACATTAAGAAACAAAAGAAAACAAACAACAAAGAAAGAAAGCAATGAACGTGTGAAATAGGGCAATGTATGTCAGGTTTGTTCTACCTTCCACCTAAACAATCAGGTTCAGTTTCGGAGCGTGAATGTCTTCCTCTTACGGTTAATAAAAATGGAGCCTTGTCCCCTACGGCTGACCCAGCGTTACCCTCATAAACGGAGGTGGCTTTGAGCAACTCAGCATTAGGCCTGCTGCTTGGAACTCGTTTAGTTACCAGCCCCGGCTGGCAGAGCGAGACGCAGCTATTCCGAGGTGCAGAGCACACAGTGAGCTCGGGAGGGCAGCGGGCGTGGGGGCGCTGTGTCTCAGCCTCCTTTGCATCCCTGGCATCAGCTCAGTGACAGGCTCCTGGCGGGAACCTAATAAATAAGTACGTTTGCTGACCCCAACCGCAAGTTAGACCTTTCCCTACTAGAATGTGCGGAGCCACGCAGAATCCTTGAAGGTCCGAGTGAACAGCTTGTAATCCTTGACCTTTCATATTTTATAGGGCAGATTTATTCTTTCCGCGCTGCGTGGTCAAGCTTTCCCCCCCCCGACACGCCAAGGCCCGCTGGCGCGTTACTTGCGGATGTGTTAGAGGTGAGCTGAGATCCTGAGCCCTGAGCCCTGGGGAGGCCCAGCCCCAGGGCAGCACGTCTTTCGGTGCCACTGGGCCGGGCAAGTGTAACCATGACTACGCGTGGCATGAGTAGAGGAAGGCGCACCCAGCCTTAGGGTCTCAATCCCCACACAGCCCTGAGCCCACCCGCATTCCTGGGGAATCACCGCTCTTTCAGCCTGTCTCTGTGTAGCCTTCTCAGAGGACGAAACGAATTATTCCTGTATTTATTTATTGGCATTAAACTGTGTGACATTCCATGCTCCACAAATCCTTGGTGGAATGGGGCGGGGTATAAATAAACACACACCGGGCTTTTCCCAATTTCCTGACGGCGTTCGCACTGCCACAGGCCATCCGGAATCTCAGACCTGTGTTTTCCGTCAGCTGCCCCGAGGACGCCTCCCTGAGGCTCTCGCGTCTGCGGTGCGCGCGCCGGGGCCGGTGGCACAGGCAAGAGAAGCGGCGGCGGCGGCGGTGGAGGAAGGCTGAGGGGCGCAGTAGACACTTTCATCTCAGTTCCCCAAATCCTGTTCTTCTTCTGAATTAGATGAGCACGCAACACATTTGCCTGTCACCTTCGCTCCCACAGAAATAGCACCGTTGACCAGGATTCCAGGCAGTCTCCTTAGCTTTTATGGGGAGCTGATCTTTTTTTTTTTTTAAGGCGCGGGAAGAAATGTCCTGACTTTTCCCCTAATGAGATTGGAAGGTGCTTGACAGGAGGGACCCTCTCACGCATCTTTGTGGCTCTTGCTGCAAGGGGAGCTGGGAGCACGAAACACGTTACCTACGTATGTGCAGACTGCAAGCAGTGAGGTGTGTACCCACAGACCTGTAGCAAGTTATAACGTTGCGAAAGAAGGAAACCCAGCCTTGTGAAGCTAAAAATTTCCACTTGGTTTGAGGTGAAACGTCATCAAGAGGGAATAACTTTAGAAGAAACTCAGAAATATTTACTCGGAACGGGGCTTGCTAACCAGGTTTTCTTTCACCAGGTTTCTGGATAGTTCCAAAACAATCTATAAAGATCATTTGGGTGAAGAAATGGTCTTTGAAAACCAGGTCCTCAAGGTGACTTGAGACCAGGGGGGAGAAATTCACACAGATGATCACTCTCAAAAATGCCCGTGCGGAAGGCGCAGCGAAAGTCAGTGCCTCCCAGCCCATCTGTGAGTGACAGACAGCAGCAGATCCAGAGAGGCGGTTCTGCCAACTGCCCTGTCCCCCGCGGCCCTGCTGGCCGTGCAGGCAGGCTATCTCCTGTCCGTTCCTGAAAGGGAATTCGGCTGCCAAACCGGCAGGGACAAGGAAGCCCAGGAGGCTCGGAGAAGTTGGCACCAGGTTCAAGGCACTGAGCTAGATTGGGGGGCGGCGGGTGGGGGGAAGCCACTTAAAAGCGAGCGCCAAAATTACAGTGATTTTACATCATTTGAAGAAGTCTCTCTCATCATCAAGACCACTTCAAAATCCTGGACTCGAAATAGGCCTAGGAGAAACCAGCCCGGCAAGGATGCCGTAGTTACTGTAGTAGAGGCTCCGTCTAGTGCACGTGGGTCTGGGAACTGGCAACTCCGCGCGGCCGGCGCTGCCTGACTTTCGCGGGCGCGGGGACGGTGGAGGGAGGCGACGCCGTCGCCGCCTCTGCCGAAACAGCCGCCTGTGCCGGACTGTACAAGCCGCGACCGTCCTGCCCCACAGCCGTACCCCTCCTGCGGCGGAAACTTCAGGTGGAGGCAGTTTAGAAAGCCGCAGAGACACCCGATAGTTCACGTTCCTTCCCACCCTCTTCCAGTCGGCTCCCAAGGCCCTCCCTGCAGCACACAACGCGGCTTTGGGGAAGGGGACCTCGAGGAGGGCGACGATGGAGACTTTCCGACCCCGAGGACACCCCTGGCCGCGGACGCTCTGGGATCCGCCGGCTGCCCTGCGCGGAGCCCCAGGTCGGCGCTCCCAGGCGGGGAAGGTGCCCGCCCCGAGCGCGTCCGGGGGTGGCGCCGCGGCGCGGTCCCCGGAAGTGGCGGCGGGCGGGGGGCGCGCGGGGATCGGGGCGCGCAGCAGCCATGGCCGCCGGCTTTGTGCGTCGCGCGCGGGCCCCGGCCGTCCGCCCCTCGCCCGGGCCGCGGAGCCGCCGCTGACCCGCCCCGCCCCGCCCCGCCCGCCGCCGGCCCCGCCCCCGCCGCCTGCGCGCTCCGCGCGCCCGCGCGCCCGCGCGCCCTCGCTCGCCGCCTCGCTGCCTGCCTGCCTGCCCGGCCGGCGGCGGGCCCAGGCCGCCCCGATGCCCGAGCCCGGCCCCAGGATGAACGGCTTCTCGCTGGGCGAGCTGTGCTGGCTCTTCTGCTGCCCGCCCTGCCCGAGCCGCATCGCCGCCAAGCTGGCCTTCCTGCCGCCCGAGCCCACCTACACGGTGCTGGCGCCGGAGCAGCGCGGCCCGGGCCCCGGCGCGCCCGCCCCGGCCCCGGCGCCCGCGGCCACCACGGCGCAGGCGGCGGCGCAGGCGGCCGAGGAGGGCGCGGGCCCGGGCGCGTGCAGCCTGCACCTGAGCGAGCGCGCCGACTGGCAGTACTCGCAGCGCGAGCTGGACGCCGTCGAGGTCTTCTTCTCGCGCACGGCCCGCGACAACCGGCTGGGCTGCATGTTCGTGCGCTGCGCGCCCTCCAGCCGCTACACGCTGCTCTTCTCGCACGGCAACGCCGTGGACCTCGGCCAGATGTGCAGCTTCTACATCGGCCTGGGCTCGCGCATCAACTGCAACATCTTCTCCTACGACTACTCGGGCTACGGCGTCAGCTCGGGCCGGCCCTCCGAGAAGAACCTCTACGCCGACATCGACGCCGCCTGGCAGGCGCTCCGCACCCGGTGAGCCCGCGGGGTGGCCGGGCCTGCGGCTGCGGGAGGCGGGTGGGCGCCCTCCTGGCTGGCGGCGAGTCGAGAGCCCCGGGCCGCGGTGGATTCGCTTCCTTCTGCGTCCTGGCCTCCTCCCAGCGCCCCCTCCGTCACCCCGCCAGCGCTGAGGTTCCTGGAGAGCCCGGGCTCGGCGGGTTTTGCCAGCGTGGGCACACCTGGGAGCCACACGCCCCCCCGGCTGGGGTCTTCAGGCGGCAGCGTGGGGTGCTGAAGTACCTGCAGAGAGAAAACTCCTTGGTCCGCGTTTAGTTTGTGTGAGCTGGCCACCGGAGACTGAAGTGACCTTGGGCAAGGCGCAGGGCGTCTGGGGACCTCCTTTCCTTGTGAGATCAGGGGGTGACCTCCCAGAGAGTGTCCGGTTGTGAAGTGCCCCGCGGGGCAGCTGGGCAGCCCCGGGGGCAGCTGGGGGGTCCCGGGTGCGAAGAGCGTGCCCTGGTGGGGCAGGAGGGGCCATGGGCGGGACGTGGGGGGTGGCTGCCCCGCGGACCCTCCACAGAGCCCCCGCGACAGCCCAGGGTGAGTGGGAATTTTGCAGGGGATTCCCTTGACCTTGAACCAGCATTCAGAGCAGGACGGGAGAGCGCTCCTTGAGGGAGGGCCATCTGAGGCCAGGCGCAGGTGGGGGGGGGCAGAGTGCTGGGCAAACAGAAGACGGGAGTTTTACTCTCAACTTAGACCAAGTGGGCAAGTCACAGCACCTGGCGCCCCATATTCTGTGTCTGTGGCTTCCCCTCTCCCGCCCGGAGCCGTGATGGCGGAATCACCTGAGATGCATCCCTAAGGACGTCTCCCTGCCTCAGGCGAAGGGCCCCCCACCCCCGCAGTAAGGACAGGGCGTGCGGGCGGCTGGCGGACCCCGTGTGCTGTGCAGTTTCTCTCTCCGATGTGTTCGCTGGGCTTGCCAGTGACTCGGCCCCCATTCTGTGTGTACAGAGGCTCGTCAATCACCCTCTGCTCTTCTGGGAAGATGGCTCGTCCACCAGGAAGTACTTAAGACTTAATGTATGCGGCTTATTAGTGTTCTGCTGAAGTTCTGGCTTCATCGGGACCCCAGCTTTTCCAGGCAAATGAGAGTATGTCAGAGGCAGATGGCTTGAGTCAGAATCCACAAATGCTTAAAAGCCACCTGTTCCAGGAAAGGGCGTCAAAGGCGCCCGCGGGCTCGGTGGAATGCTGGGATGGGCTGCTGGGGAAGGTGTTCAGGGTGAGGGTTGGCCTTAGGTGTTTTCCAAGTGCCACAGTAGGGTTCTGCCTGGAGTGGGTTTTGTGGTAAAGTGTCCCTTTCGGTACCTGTCTGCACCGGGGTGGAAGGCTGTCCAGTTCCAGGCCCAGCCTTCGGCCTGAACACGAAGGTGTGTCTCTGTCGCAACACCTGTGAGGCGTAGCCACTTCCTGGAGACTGGGTCACGCTGTGTTTAACTACGGGCGTCGTTTCAGGTAATGTTTAGTTTGGAATTGTCAGAGGGCGGATCTCCGTTTTGCCCACAATGCATTTAAAGTTTCACGGCGGAACGCCCGTCAGGGTCGATAGGCACGGAAGAAACCTTACACATTCCCTCGCCCTGTGCTTTCACACTTTTTTATTATTGTGACCCCGCAGTCAGGGACACATTTTACACGGTGATCAAGCCACACACACACCCCCGCCCCCCGCCCCGTGTCTCCAGATCTGATGTTTTGCGGTACAATTTCCCCCGCTGTGGGCAATGCATATGGCAGAGTATGTTCTGTTTTTTAAAATTTATTTATGCATGTATGTATGTATGTATTTATTTTGGACGAAACGATGCTCGTGAGCCGCTCACTTTGTTTCCTGCCTCAGTCCCGGCCCCCCGTCACCTGGCGGAGGTCTGGGGGAGCTGCTTTCATGGCCTGTCCACGGTGCATGTCTCGGCTGCGCGTCTGCCTCTTTCCCCGCGGCACCGTGGAGTCCCAGCTTCCCGGTGTGCGTGTCCTGTTAGCCCAAGAGTTCGGGGTTCCGAAGCTACTCCGGCCCTTCCCCGCCTTCCTTCAGCCGGCCTGTTGCCGCTCTCTGCAGGTCGGCCCTCCCCCGGCCTGGAATGTGCGCCCCTTCTCTGCCACCGAGGCTGTTGCTCCGCCGCGGTGCCTCCCACCACGTGCGCCCCCTTGTCTGTGGCTAGGTCATTGCTTGTCCACTCCCAGCCCCTGTGCCTTCGGGGATCTTTCTCTCTTCTGACCCCCGGGTTTCCCTAGTGCTCACTGGAGGCCTCCCGTCTCTCCCTGCCCTAGGAGGGCGGTCGGGTGTGTGCATCCGGCCTGTGCGTCCCTGGCATCCGCCCTTCACTTCCTCCTTCCTCATGCTTCCTCTGGCCTTTGGTACCTGCCCTTTTGCGAGGCTGAAACACTCTGTGCTCCCTGGGTCCAGACTGGATTCGCAGGCCGAGTCGGACCCAAGCCGCGTTGGACTGTGCACAAGTGAGGCCTGTGGTTCCGGAGGGAGTGGGTCGCGCTGGTTTGAAAGTGTGAACCCAAACGAGCGAATAACCCAGAGAAGGAGGCGGAGATTTTAATCCGGAGCAACAAGAGAGCTTGGGATGGCTGTCCATAAATAAGAGACTCATCGCCTACATGCAAAAGGCAAATTACCAAAGACTTAATACTTCATCCCCTCGTTCATTCGTTCGACCAGCAAACCATGAGCCATTAAACTCACACGTATCGATTCTGTGCTTGTACCAGACGCTGTGGCAGGTCCCCCCTGAGTGCCGTTAGTCCCGCACTGTTTCTTTTTGTTGTGAAAGGAGGGACGAGATTTCACCGGCGTTTTGACCGTGTTGCCACGTGTGGCTGGGTTATAACTCTTGTGTGATTGTCGGGTCTGTCATAGGAAAACGCGTCAGTGTCGCGAAGGTGGAGGGGGATACCCCCAGGTAGTGGGCGTCTGGTGGTTGTGAGTGGGGTTTACAGGTACGACGCTCGGACGGAGATTTCTCTTGGGGGTCGCCAACGGTCACCTCCCTGGGCCGCCACCGTCTGCGACCCAGCGGCTCTGCTCTCTGTGCTGGGGGGGCGGGGGTTGTGCCGTGCCATCGGGGAAGAGCGCTGGGGGTTTCTCCCGGACTGCGACTGAGGCGGGACCCCAGACACAGACGGGTTATGGAGGGTGTTTGACGTAAGGTGGAAACAAGCACACCGATCTCTCCAGAGAGCAGAGAGAGCATGGGCTTGCCCTTCCCGACACCCGGGTGGGAATTTCCCAGCGGGAAGAGCCGGACTCTGAGAACAGACACGTAGAAACTGAGGGCGGCGAGGTGGGTGTGCGGGCTTTGCTTGGGGCCTTTTCCTTGGCGCCCGCCCTTCCTCCTCGTGCTCCCGCCGCCACCCTGGCTCTTCCGTCCCCGTGGGCACCAAGCAGGTTTCTCTCTCGAGCACCGTCTGAGCTCCTGCCTCCATCCCAACAACCTTCCTTTTCCGTGGTTCTGTGAGAGGGGCCTCACTTCCCAGTTGCAGAAGGTCAAAGAGGCACAGCACGTTTCTGTGCTGATGGGCCATCGCTCCAGGACGCGTGTTCTCTCCCAGGCCTGTTGGTTTTTGTTCGACGTAACCATGGCGGCTCAGCCTTACCATCCGGCTGGTGCCGGGGCGTGGCCATGGAAGAGGCCTTTTTCCCTGAAGGGATCGTTTAAGTTATAGAGTGTCCCTGTTTTCACTTCCTACCTTCCGCTTCACTTTTTTCCCCTCAATCTCTTTCCAGATTTAGAAACTTCTCTATTCGGTATTGAAAAATCCCACGTAAGATCCCAGAATCCGGCTTTGGGCTTTGTGGCGCTCATTTTGGTCACAGATTTACCTTCTCTACTAGATTTTGCGTAAGCGTGATGTTAACCCCATGAATTGGCTCCACTCCGTGAAACCTCGCGCACAGGCATCCAAGTCTCAACCCAGATACACTCAGGCCATTGCGTGGCTTTCAGAGTGACTATATATCTATATCTATATATAGATATATAGATATATCTATATATATATTTTTTTAGGATCGCGTTAAGTAGTAGTCTTCTAATTTGTCTAGAAGATTGAGTTGACAAAAGTTAGATAATCAGAAAACCTTCGGACCTAGGAAGCGAGTTCTCGTTCTAGTACTCCCCCGACCTTCATGGGGCGTGGCCCACCTTGGCGTCACCGTTCGCTGTGGCTCGAAGGAGGGGGCCCAGCCCCGGCTGGTGCGTCTCAGTGAATTGAGCACAAGCCTGCGAAGTGAAGGGTCACCAGTTTGATTCCTAGTCAGGGCACAGGCCTGGGTAGTGAGCCAGGTCCCCAGTGCAGGGCGCGCGAGAGGCAACCACACATGGATGTTTCTCTCCCTCTTTCTCCCTCCCTTCGCTCCCCTCTCTAAAATAAATAAATAAATAAATAAATAAAGTCGTTTTTAAAAAGGAGGGGACCCAGCTGCGTGAGCTCAGAGGTGCCTTCTCCGGGCTCCTTCGTGCTTTCAAATCTGCTTTTTGTGACTGTGCTGGCACCCTTGGTGGATTCAGTGTCGACAGTGGATCCCAATCCTGGCTGCAGCGAGCATTTGCTGGGCAGATTTTGTGAGAGAGAGAGAGAGAGAGAGAACACACACAGATACAAACATGTATACATGCATGTCTGTGTACATGTACAAGTGTGCATTTATATATGCATGTGTGTATGCGGATACAGATACATGTACATGTAGTCATATGTGTGCCTGTGCATATATGTGTAAGCATGTGTGTGTGCAGCCAGGGTTGAGATGCACTAGCCTAGAAACATCCAGAAGCCAGGGTGCCATTAAAATTGGCTGTAGTTACATTCAGCAAAGGGCTGAATACAGTGCCTTCCGGCCAGGTAGCTCCGTTGACTAGAGCATTGTTCTTACACCGCAAGGCTGCAGGTTCGATCCCGGGTCAGGGCACGCAAAAGAATCCACCAGTGAATGCATCAGTGAGTGGAACAACCAATCGATG